ATGGGGAATAAAACACCAACCCTGTAGCCACCTAACACCTACACGCCGAAGTCCCTCAAGGTAAAACTGCATTCGACAGGAAAACGTGCACGAGAAAAACCCAAACTCGTGTCGCCAACAAAGCCAATAACATCGAGATACCCGCCCCCCCCGCATTCACGCTACGTTGTTAGCCCTCCGCACGCAACACCTCTCGGTCAAAAACAAACAAACAAGTCGACGAAAAAAAAACACGCTGCAGCCGCCAACAAAGAACAAACATGAACCCCCCCCCGCGCGCGCTTTCTCGCTACGTTGTCGCACGGCACGGAACACCTCTCCGACCACGACAAAATAAAAAACAAATCCACAAAACAAAATACACTGCAGCCGGCAACAAAGAACAAGCATGGACCCCCCCCCGCGCGCTTTCTCGCTACGTTGCCGCACGGCACGGAACACCTCTTCGACCACGACAAAAATAAAAAATATAACGACGAAAAAAAACACACTGTGGTCGCAAACAAAGAACAAGCATGACCCCGCCCCCCACCCGCGCCTTCTCGCTACGTTGCCGCACGGCACGGAACTCCTCTTCGACCGCGACAAAAAATAAAATAAAATCGACGGAAAAATATCACACTGCAGCGGCCGCCATGGAACAACCCCCCCCCTCCCCCCCGCTCGTCGAAGGGAGCGTTCCAATGCCTACGGTTTCTTGTTCTCTGCCACAGCCAACTGCACCTTCATCCTCATGATTTCCAACTCAAACTCCCGTTCCTTCTCCCTTTCGGCCCTTTCATCGGCACGCCTTTTTTCCGCAGCCGCCTCCCGCTTATCCCTGTCTGCGCGTTCCTCCTGTCGCTCGTCGGCACGCAAATCCCTCTCGTGTTGGCGGTCCAGCTTACTTTCATCACGCTCCCTCTGGTACCGGTCCTCCGCCATTTTCTCCCTCCGCCGTGCAAACGACTCATCCCTCACCGACCTCCGAATCTCATTTTGCTCTGCATTCTGGATCGAGCGCGCCAGCATCCTATATATTTTGGACGCAACAAGAAACGAAACGCCAAGCCGCCCGTTGAATGCATGCTCGTGCAGAAGATATTCTCAAGACCATTGGGTACGGGCTAAAATAGGCAACCCTGACGAGGTCGGTCGACTATGCCGACACAAGTGGGAATGGGTAAACCTCAACTTTCGAAGCGACAGCACACAGATAAAGCACTCGTGGAAACAAACACCGACCTGGAACCCATTGTTTCGACCTGTTTTTTTTTCGAAACAACCCAAATAGTTTAACGGTCGCCACACTTGCCCGTTGAGGTCCGACTCCTTGCTCATGTTGGCGTTTGTGCGGGTCTTCCTACCGCTCTTGGCCGTACGCTTGGCTTGCCTGTCGGGAGGGGCGTCGTCGTCGCCGGAATCGTCATAGTCGTTAGCACCGCCGCCGCCGCCGCCGCTGCCGCCGCGGCCGCCGGCTAAGTTCATCGGCGTGTTGTCGGCACCGAACACCAGTCGAGCCGGCAGAGCCCTCGTCAGCCCATCGAAGATCTTGTCCGACGGACCTTCCTCAACCAACCACCCACTGCGGTACTTGTAGGCATTCGGAAGGATTCCAAACGCATTAAAGTCTTGCTTGTAGTTGACAAGAAGTGCGTTCGTCAAATCACCAGCCCTGTCCAACCCGGGAACTTTCGTCGTTGCTACGGGTTGAAAGCCATCGGCGTCTTCATCAGCTTCAATAACTTCCTTGACAAACGTTTCCACGGATTGGTTACCTCTAAGTGCACTCAGGTAGCCCGCAATCACAGTCTCCATCATCCTCGTTGCTACTTCATAGGGGATTTGGTCAGGACGAAATCCCGCGTTGAGGAAAAGGTCCGCCTGCTCAGGCGTAACGTCGGCTTTCGAAGCAAGCCTCTCGATCGTCGGTGCGCGTAGAAGGTTGGCAAGGGCGCCCCCAAGCGGGAGGACAGGTATCACCCCACCCACGGTAGCTGGGCTGGATCGGCCGCTACCGCTACCGCTGCCGCTACCGCTCCCACTGCCGCTACCGAAACCGGCCCCGCCGCCGGCGGTAGCGGCGCTGAATCGGCCGCTCCCGCTGCCGCTGCCGATACCGCTCCCACTGCCGTTACCGAAACCGGCCCCGCCGCCGGCGGTAGCGGCGCTGAATCGGCCGCTCCCGCTGCCGCTGCCGATACCGCTCCCACTGCCGTTACCGAAACCGGCCCCGCCGCCGGCGGTAGCGGCGCTGAATCGGCCGCTCCCGCTGCCGCTGCCGATACCGCTCCCACTGCCGTTACCGAAACCGGCCCCGCCGCCGGCGGTAGCGGGGCTGGATCGGCCGCTTCCGCCGCCGCTCCTGCTATCGGGCTGCGTGAACCCAGGGATGCGTCCCTTGGTGCGGTTGACTCCCTCCATCCGGCGCTCGTCCCTCGCGTGAGCTTCTCCGAGGACGTCGCCGTTGCTCCCGGTCCGCACCGGCTGTTGCCCATGTCGATGGATTCAACTGTGCCGGTCACGCCGGCCACTCGCCAGGTCTTGTGTCTGACAGCTGCCGCGACAGGGAGAGCGATTTTGACAAGCAAGACAAAAAATATGCGAAGTAGTAGTTAGTGAGGAGCCCACAAGGCCGGCGTCTTATCCGGAAACTGACATAACGCTCTTCCGACCAAACCCCATCCTGACGGATGCAACTGCTGTGGTGAGCGAGCATACAAAAGCAGGCACACCGTGCAACGTGCTTCGGGTGTTACAGCAGTGTAGAATACTTGTTATCGCCACCCTGCTGTGCCACGGGACTTTGTATCCAGAGAACAACCTTTTCGATAAACTGCTGTGCGCCAACAGCAGTTGGGTGATTAGCACAAATCCTGTATGTTAAACCCCTTTTCAAGCAAGTGCATCTGCTCCACTGCTGTACAACAGGTAGCGATGCAGGCGGGAGGGAGACATTCGAACTCGGCGCCGTCTGATATGGGGAAATTTGAAATTTAAAAGTTGAAAAAGTAGTCAACTCAACACGAAAATCCATCAATCGACCTCATGTGGTCTGCTTGCTTCCTCTGATGACCGCCAGCTTTTCGTCAAAACCGTGCTTTGCTTACTCAACGAATGTTCTCCACATCACCTTCCTTCAACCGAGTTAGAAAATATGCCGCCCTACATACGATGGCAGGAGATTGCACGAGGCACACACCCAACACGCCGCGGAACCTGTCGTCCTACCGGACTGCTGTGTTCATGCTGCGACGAGCCACATGAAAAAAGGCATGTATGTTCGACTCACAAGCGAAGCCACAAGCTTCGGACCTACTACTTACCCAGCGACGGGTCCACTGCTACACAGCAACCGGATGCTACAGCATGTACCAGGTGGCACCCATGGGATGAACGGCCATGCTATATGCTGTGTCGTGTTCGGTGGGTTGCCCATGCATATGCGTGCCACCTTGCATACACACGGAGACTACCTGTAGGTCCGGTGGGTGCACACGTGCACACACTCACCGGAAGTAAGTAGCATCAGGTCCTGTCCCGTGTTCCACTTCCCCGAGTTTCTCTTCCTGCCTGCTGCGGTCTTGTTGCCCGCGGGGTCGACGCTCGATGGTTTGGGCACAGCTACCACTTCATCGTCGAAGCCCTCCAACTGCACCGGGGTCTCTTCTCCACCAAACCTCGCCACCTTTTGCGCGTGCCCATCGCCTGCCGCCCTGAAGGACGGGCGCTCGGAGTTTTCTGCGTCCCTACGCGCCGCCGCCTTGCGGGAAGCTTCTAGGGCCAAGCCCTTTTCCGTGTGTGTGACGAACCTCACGCTCTGACGGGTAGCCATGCTGTTCTGTTGTGTGTGTGCAAGGTAGCCCCTCTAAAATCTGGAACGCTCTCTCCGATTTAGAAAAAGCAGCGCTAGCGCTGCTTTTTCTAAATCTGAGAGCCACACTCCAGATTTAGGAGCTCAATGTTCCCCCGCTTTGAGGAAGGTTCCCAGAAATTGACCCTTCCTTCTAAATCAAGAAGTTATTTCTGACTCTAGAAGTAAAAAATCGTTGGCCGAAACTCGCCAATGTCCACTTATCAGTAAACTTCTTCGCCGCGTCAATTTGCAGTTGCAGTCCCTTAGGGGTGTCCGACATACCGTCAAAATCATCCGCAAACAGCATTCCTGAAACCGACGTTTCCGTGTCCCCTACTTTTACTCCCTTGGGGGCGGAGGACTACTCATAGTAGAACCACCTCGAACAGATATTTCTCGCCCTCGTTTTGTGTTTTGTTGGGGTCATTTGTAGAAATGATCTTGCGCAGGGGGGCGCAGCCTTAATTGGTAGCCATGGTCATGCACAGCGCCGAAGTCTGGTGAGAGTTTGGAAGCAGTCTGTAGCCCTCATCGATAGCTCTATTCAGGGCTGGACAACAAGCGTTGAGAGGCGTTTGGCGGTTTCGTGGGTGACGTGTCCTTGCTGCGGTGATGAAGCTCGCCTGTCTTCCGTTTGTTCAACCCCCGTCTCCTCCCGTCCGCGGTTCCCCCGTTTCATCACCGTGACGGCCATGCGACTGCAACAGGAGAAGACCTGGGAGCAGGGGCTGAAGGAGACGGTGGAGTGGTACCGGACCAACAGCAGCCGCTTCGGAGACATCGAGCACTGCCTCGTGGCGCATCCCCGCGCGGGGCTGGGACAGGAGGAGAGCTCCTCGGTGGTCTGATGGTGTGTTGTGTTGCAGAGCAGATTTTGCCCGCTTGGGTGGGCGTAGGTGGGAGGCTTCGGAGCCTGCCAGCCGACGGCGCGACGCGACTGCCGCGGCTGTCAAGTCAGCTGCTACTGCCGGCTCTCGTCGACAAACGTTGCCATTGCGACCGGAGATGCTATCTGCCGTGGTAGCGGTGTGGCGTGTTCCGATCATCATCATCATCATCAGCTGTTTTACCGGACGACCTCCTTCGGCACGAAGCCGGGTAGTAGGCGGGAACAGAGGCCGTGGCCGTGTGTAGGGAGGGGCTTTGCCAGGCAGTGGCGTTCGATTGGCGGTCAGCATTCCCGAGGGAGGAGGATGACTGCGGTTGCGTGACTTGTGCCACTGTAGTAGAATCGCCCCCCCAGTGGCTCGCCAACAGGGCTCGCAAGTTCTAACTTTGGAGGGAGGGGAGGGGGTCTGTTATATCCAGGTACCGTGTAGGGTGCTTCAACTAGGATTTAGTGTAGTATTGTACAACCTGTATATTGTTTCTTGTTTAGGATGTAGTATAGGTATACATGCACTTATACACTCTTTTTATGGGTTTTCGACTGCTGTAGGTCCATCGTGCGTAGGACTATGTGTGACCCCATCCACACGTCATAGTATACGGTTATCCTGCGACACTCAAGCCTATACAATATAACGAATATATAGGTTTGCGATATCCATACTAAATCCTACACAAAAATGCCTAGAATAAAACTGGATGAAGAGCCCGAAAAAATGGGGTGGGGGGGTAGCCGTGCTTTCAGAATTTGAATCCGCAAGCCCTCTTAGGCTCGCGTCTGGGGGGCTTAGGGAAATCGGCGTGACCGAAGAACGGTGAGGGGGGAAGACTGTGTTCCACCACCAGTTCACAGGAGAAGAGTTTTCAGCACTTCCACCACAGGAAAATGAAAACAAGAGCAATAATTTCCACAACAGGGTAGACTTACTTTTTCATCCTCTCTTGGCTTGGTTTTGTCCGTGGTATTAGTTCCGTCACCGTCGTGTCTACATGGTACAGGTATTCCGCAAAACTCGCGCTTTCCCCGGAGGACCGCACACAACTCGTGTGTTTGCCGAGTGTCTCGGATCGATCCCTGATGCGTAAGACTATCCCGTTGTTGTTTTGTTTTTCAACGCCCCCTCCCTTTGGTTCCTTGCGCGTGGCGCTGGGTGACATGAGAGCCCGGTCCGGTGAGAACACGGCGTGCTCCGTCCCGGCTTTGTAGGGATGCGAGGCCGACGGTCTAACGACTACGACATGCACGACTATGAGGACCCCCCCCCACCCCCCCGGCTCCTGTTGTTTGGTAAACAACCCAATGGAGCGCATGGAGGCGTTCTTCTTCACGGTGATGACACTGACAGGTCGCCCCTACACGTCAACGCGCGATCCATACCGTTGTCGCTGGCAACACAATGGTAGACGCTGTTTCTGGAAGAGAGTCGCGCAAAGGTGCAGGACACGGAACGATATGAAGCTGGAGAGACGACGTTCGGCGTCGTCACTGAGTATGCAACTCTCTACACTACTGTGTCGTAGAATCATCACCCGCCTTCTAGAGGCGGGTGCCAAAAGCGGGGTGTTTAAATATTTTGCGACTTCGCCGGAGTAAAAGTCCCCGCTTCCAACAAGCCACTACCCTTTGCTAGAGAGGAAAAAGCGCGATGCAGCATTCATATTCCATTGAATAGTTTTTCTCTCTTATATTATTCTGGTCAAGTCATCATGATATATATTCTGGGAAAGACGTCTTTTGGTAGAATTAGGTTTTGAGCGGTGAGTGCATGGCCGATGGTTGGTTGTGTGTTTCGTTTTTGATTGAAAATGGATGTGTTGTTTTGATTTTGGTAGTAGACTACATGTAGATGACATTTTTGCTGTGGGAGAGAGGGAGAGATGTGACAAGTTTGGCGCCGACCTTAACAAGTCCGTGCCAGTGAAGAACCTGGGAGAGTTGAGATGCTATTCTGGGCTGGTTGAATCGAGAGCAACCCTACAAAATGGTTTGCTCTCGATTCAACTAGAGAAAAAATCGTGACGGAGAAGAAAAATAGTTACGCGTTCAACGACAACCCCGGCGGATTTTGCCGCTACCACCAGTCCGAGCTTCACACCAACGAGCGTGTCGTCTCCAGCAGCAACTGCGGCGCGCGGGTTGGAGAGAGGGCGCCGCGGAACGCCGCTCGGGCGGCGGCAGCTGCGGTGGCGGCGGTAGCCAGCGAGGGGGCAGACCGCCGCCGGGGCCAGGCCGCGGTGGCGGCCGATGGGTGAGGCCAGAATGGCAGCAACACCACACCGGTCATGGTGGCGGTGGCTGGAGCCAAGCCTCACCCCCCCCGAGACCTCTTCGTGGACGTGGGCCTGGCGGTCGTCTGGGGCGTCACCCGGGGGGTCGTGGGCCCGCGGGACGCCACAGTAGCGACGGGGGTGCCGAGAGGGAACGGGCAGAGAGAGGCCCGGGCCACGCGCGTTCTGGCCACGGAAGAGAGCAGGCGTACGTTGTGTACTACGCACGATGATGGTGGCTACCACGAAGACTACGGCGACTACGATTTGTAAGATAAAGAATCCCGATTTTGGCCATATCGGGATTTTGAGGTTTTTCAGGTCAAGAATCCGGCTCTATAAGAAACAGCCTTAGTCTAGGGCCGTTTTATACATTCCAATTTTTTGTTCAAAAGTACAAATTTTCCGAAATTCCGGAACTTGTACAGAGGCGTTTGTCCAAATAGTCTATATTAAAAAAATTCGGAACAACCTGGGCGCCAAAATTTGTAGTAGCTTCCAAATTTTCCAAATATATTCGAGCATCACAACAAACCCCGCAGCTAAAGGACCTACAGGGCCAACTACAAGGGAGAAGCAGCAGCGGAGGGTACTTGGATAGCGGCAGGGCCATGGCGGACCGCAGGAAACGCGGCGCGCCTCTTGGTTCGTCGTGTGCTGGCCCACCGAGCCAACGATTCAGGCGTGCATCCGGTCGCCAAGAGCTGGTGCGGCAGATGGAAGCAGCTGCTTGCTGCTGTGGTGGTTCTGGTGCTGAGCGCGGCGGAAGTGGTCACCTCTGTAGCTGTGCACGCTAGCGCTAACAAGACGCGTGCGGCTATCCATGAGCCACGGCACCTGGTTTGGGAGGATCACGCTGCTGACCTCAAGAAGCGGATGCTCTTCCGGAGGATGTATCGCATGGAGGAACCGGTGTTCAACAAACTGGCTGGGTTGCTGGAACCGATCCTCCAACAACGGAACGACTACTACGCAAGTGAGAATAGAGAGAGGGCGGGAGGTAGAGATGGGGGGGCGGGGGTGCAGGGAGAGAGAGTGTGTGTGTGATTGACGTACGAGGCGCAGAACTCATGCCGTGGTGTTTTTCCCGTCCTTCCGTTCGTTGCTGATGCTGAAGTGTTGCATTGCAGAAGACCACGGTTGGTGTAGACTATTGGTTAAAAGTGTAGACTACTGCTGTAGGAACAAGGCGAATCATCCCGCAGCACCACCGCCCGCACTCTCACACCAGCAGGACGGTTTACACCAGCAGGACGGTGACCTCCGGTGTCTGACTAGGGTTAGGGTAACAGTTTCACCGCCCAGCACTTGCTATTTTCGTCTGCTGATACATTCACGCTATGGTTATTTTGTGCTTCATGCGAAACAGGAAAACGGTATCGACGCGGTGCTGTTCCCACGAAGATCCGACTAGCTATCATATCGGCTTGCGGATGATGGCCGGTGCTTCGTATCTCCATGTCGCCGTGCTGTTCGGCGTGTCCAAGGAGACGGTCTTTAGCATCTTGTGGCAGGTGGTGGATGCCATCAACAGCACAGCAGCGGTTGGGCCGTTCTTTTTTCCGCAGAGCAGCTGCGGGGGATGGCCTCTTCGTGAAGACTCTTGCTCCGACTGTCCTCAACACTCCGAACGTTCTCTCGTATTATTCTGGGAGAAAGTGCGGCTACGGGGTGAACGTACAGGCGACATGCGATGCCAACTACCGGTTTTGCAGCATGTCTTGCATTGCACCCGGCTCGACCAATGACTGGACGGCATGGAACCATTCGGATCTATCCACAGCGGTAAAAAACCTGCCGCCAGGCTTCTACATGCTCGGAGACGCGGCTTACCCCCTAAGCGACCACCTGTTGACTCCGTACCCAGGGAGGGGACTACCGCTGGACAAAGATGCGTTCAACTTCTATCTGAGCCAACTCAGAGTCAGGATCGAGCAAGCGTTCGGCATTCTCGTCGGCCAGTGGGGCATCCTGTGGAAGCCGTTGCGTGTTCAGTTCGCTGGGCGCTGCGACCTCATCACGGCGCTCTTTCGCCTCCACAACTTTCTCCGGGACGAGAAGGTCACACCAATCCACCGGTCGGAAGAAGACGCCGAGGTGGTCCAGGTACGCCCCCACCTACTCGGCGACAAGACTCTGCCAGGAACTTTCAGCACGACCACCAAGACCACCGAGGACGCGCAGAAACCCACCAGGTCAGGCGAAGTCTCCACGCGCAAGGGGATCACGATGATGCTGGACAACAAGCGCCAGTACCGCCCAAAGCACAACTTGGTGCGCAACGCAGCGAGGAAGACGGAAGGGGTCGAACGTGGGCGGGCTGCGGTGGAGGGCGGGTGGGTCCCGAGGACGTATGGCATGGATGATGGATGAGACGAGGCAAATGCGGCGGTGGTGGCCTTTGAGGAGCGTGGGCCGTGGCCGGGGCGGGGGATGTGGACAATGGTGGTCGGGAATGCAACGCCTTTGGTGGGGTAGGGCGTGGGGGGGGTGAAAGGGAAGGGAAGGCGCACGGGCGGGTGAGAAAATTTTTTGTTAAGGGGGGAGAGGGTCGGGCGCCAAATCCATATGCGCCTCTACGAGGACGTGGAGACAATTTTGCGGAAGTCGTGTTTTATGCGTTACAAACATCATCAACCGGGGTAATGCCTGAGTGGTGTCCGGTANCTTGCGTACGGATGACAGCTGCGTATGACTTAATTTACTTTCTGGTGCAGAGACAGCAGATGTAGGCACTGTGTAACTGCCTCGAGGGTGCTTGACCATTTTAACACAACGTGGTGCGATCATCCCCCTTGCGCGGAG